CGCTGGGATCGTGACACGTATATCACATATACAGTGTGTTACAATTTGCTCCACCCCACCCCTGTATTTCCTTATTCCTTGGGCGATTCGGAATTTTTTTTTCCTCATATTATACTCCCCAAAATTATCTACTTCTGTCGAGAAAAAAAATTATCCAACACCATTTCTTGGCCTACTGCGACCACAAAAACTAGAGCAAAATTGAAGAAAACAGATTAGGCATTTTTTTACAAACATTTCGATAATAGCAATCGATTCAGACTAGTCACAAATACTACTATATCAATTTTCAAAACAATATCTCATACGGGGTGTTTTTTATTAAGGTTACAATTTTTCAATAATTGCATTTTTCAAGTCACCGTGTATTAGGGCTGCGCGATATTGGATTTCACTTATCGGTTATCGATAAGTTGAAATTTATCGATAAGTTCGATATATCGATATATCGATATTTATCGATATATCGATATTTATAGATATATCGATATTTATCGATACTTATCGATACTTATCGATATATCGATACTTATCGATACTTATCGATACTTATCGATATATCGATACTTATCGATATTTATCGATATATCGATAAATATCGATATATCGATAAATATCGATATATCGATTAATCGATATATCGGACTTATCGATATTTATCGATATATCGGACTTATCGATATTTATCGATATATCGGACTTATCGATATCTATCGATATATCGGACTTATCGATATTTATCGATATATCGATATATTATGTAGTTCAAAAAATATCTTGCAATCATATAGACTTATTGACATATACCTACTCATTGTATAAGGTGGTTTCGATGTGTTTCGACCTATTTTTAGCCATCATCAATGTGTTTTCGAAATTCTAAAGGAAAAATGCCATCAGTTCCACTTGATTCTGATCATTTAGTGTCAAACATTGAGGGACTATATAGTTATTCAATACCGAAAAGTGGAAAAAAAATATTTCACCATATTATTCAATGCAGCGCTTCAAATTAATTATGAATTCTTACACGAATTACTTTAATAACTTAATTTTGGCAATACCAACAGAAACATTCATAACAATTGTTCAAAATGATGACCATTATTCTCTAAATAAAGATATCCTCTTCTCACAGTTGCTTCTAAGACATTACTGAGCAACCTTATCTTGGACACACTGTATATCGATATATCGATTTATCGATATATATCGATAAATATCGATATTTATCAATATTTATCGATAATTATCGATATTTATCGATATATCGATATTTATCGATATATCGATATTTATCGATATATCGATATTTATCGATATATCGATATATCGATATTTAAAAACTTGAATATCGTTATTCGATATATCGATATATCGATATATTTATCGATATATCGATATTTTTTCCCAGCTCTACCGTGTATAATGATCTTATGAGAATTTGAATGATACCAGGCATGATGGTAGTCAGGATCAGATCATCTGGCTACAGAGTGAGATAAATAACGAATAAAACCATTAGAAATTCAGATTTTTCATCAAGAAATTCAAAGAAAAAACTAAAAAAACGTATCAAAAAATAACTTCAAAAAATTATCCAACGAAGAAAACAGCAATTATTCAACTCTCATCAGTCCTTCTGCAAACTGTTATCATTCTTATATCAGTCTTATATTGCAATAACACTTCTCCATCTCTAGGCATGAATTTGTAAAAATAATTAAAAGAAGAAATGTTGTTAGGTACTGTTCAATTCTGATGAATCCTACTGATTGAAAATTATGTGAAAAGCTGGCCATGAATTACGTTTCGCTTTTCTCAATCAACTTTGACAGCTAGTATTGTGAAATCTTGCAAATCTGAAAGTATTGCGACTTGACTACTAGAATATTGAAAATTAGTAGAGCAGGTTGTGAAAAATCATAAAATGGAGAAATTAACTCTTCAAGAAAAAGTTTTGATCGTAAGATTAGTAGGAGAAAACATAATTTCTTACAGAGCAGCAGCTGAAGAATTCAATACACGACACCCAAACGTAACCCTATAGATCACAAAATAGTTTCGAGAATGATCAAACAATTCGAACTAACTGGTAATGTTGCGAGTGTGATAAAAAGAGGCCCAGGAAGAAGAATTGGAAATGAAGCAGCTATACTCGAAAGAATTACAGCTAATCCAAATGCTAGTTTGAGACAAATAGCTATCGACTTGGGACTGAATCACATTCAGGTTTGGAGAGTGCTGAAAATATAATATGATCATTGGACCTTTCTTCTTCGATGGTACGATGAATGCTCACAATTTCCGCCATTTCCTAGAAAATCAGGTATGGGATAGTCTTGAAGAACTTCCAATAAATATACGAAGAGATATTATTTTTTAACTGGATGGTTCTCCGATCCATAACGCCATCACTGTGCGAGCATGGTTGAATCGAAAATTTCCTTTGAAATGGATTGGTCGTAATAGTCCATTAATGCACTGGCCTCCCCGTTCACCGGACTTAACCCCTCTTGATTTTTACTTCTGGGGAAAAGTGAAAGAAAAGGTTTACAAATTCAGGCCAACCAATAGAGAAGAGTTGCGACAAAGGATAATAACAGTTTGTAGAGAGATACAACCAGAAGATTTGATGAGAGTTGTAGATAACGTGAGAAAAAGATATGAAAAATGTATAGAGAATGAAGGAGATTTGATAGAGAATACACACATCTAAACTTGTTGATATAATTGATGTTTCGTTCGTTGTATAATTTTTTGAAGTTATTTTTTGATACGTTTTTTTAGTTTTTTCTTTGAATTTCTTGATAAAAAATCTGAATTCCTAATGGTTTTATTCGTTATTTATCTCACTCTGTAGCCAGATAATCTGATCCTGACTACCATCATGCCTGGTATCATTCAAATTCTCATAAGATCATTATACACGGTGACTTGAAAAATGCAATTATTGAAAAATTGTAACCTTAATGAAAAACACCCCGTATGAGATATTGTTTTGAAAATTGATGTGGGAGTAATTGTGACTAGTCCGAATCGATTGCCATTATCGAAATTCTTGTAAAAAAATGCCTAATCTGTTTTCTTCAATTTTGCTCTAGTTTTTGTGATCGCAGTAGGCCAAGAAATTGTGTTTGATAATTTTTTTTTCTCGACAGAAGTAGATAATTTTGGGGAGTATAATATGAGAAAAAAAAATCCGAATCGCCCAAGGAATAAGGAAATACAGGGGTGGGGTGGAGCAAATTGTAACACACTGTATATACACTGTTGATGGCTTTTGTTGTGCTACAGTTCCGAAAAATGAGTCAATAATACCGTCTCCGAGAAAGAACTGCAAGTCCTTTTATCTTCCATTCGACTTCGCGGTTACGTATATTACCAAACAACCACTAAATCCGCAATTTTTTTAAATCAAATCACGGAATTAGACTGACAGAAGTGACATCAGATATTTGATTACTTCAAAAGAATGATAAAAATGCCTACAACGCAGGTGTCCCTACTGTTAAAAACTTAAAATTTCACGTCGATAATTTTCAGATTTCAAAATAATGTAATATCTTCTCAATATTGATTCGCCCTGTCTTCTGTGACAGGGAAAAATAGTGTATTATGCACGGGAAAATATTAGATTTTAGCTCACGGTTTTTTGTCTCTCTTCGCTAAGCGTCGGGATACAACACAACCTGGAGCTAAAATCTACTACTTTTTTCCCTTGAATAATAAATAACTATTTCCGTCGACCTGGTATTAACGACTAACTTTAATGTATATGAAATCGTCCATTAATGACCCCTATTAATGAACGATTTGTCTATAAATGCACGATTGTATTATAGTCAACCAAACATACACCGCGTGCATTCATTGTTTATGCTATAACTTACGGAATTCGCATTTAAATCGAAAATATGGATTTCATCGAAGATTTTCCGTTAATGGGTTCGCCTTTCCAAGTTTCTGACACGTTTTTAATTCCTGTTTTCTAACACAAGGAATTTATTTTCTATGTTGATCATTTCGAAAAATGTTAAATGTCACTAATGTCAGTAACAAGGTTACTGGGTGATTCTTAGCAGTTTCCGGATGAATGATGAATTCGCGAACCAAGTTTTCTTCATTGCAGGAGAAATGAGAAATATAGTCGACGGAAAATTTTTGTAATCAACTTGTATATTAAAAGGCGATTAATGATCTCTGACATTAACGCACTCGCTTCGCTCGCACGTTAAAATATCTCTATCATTAATCGCCCTCATTAATACACTAGTTGGTTAAATAACTATTTATTAATCCTCATTTACAGAGATATCTTCAAAAATATATACCAGTTCTATAAAATCAACTTGATTGCAAAACAATCGAAATTGTTTCAAGACATCACATGACTTCAGGATTATGAAGAAAGAAATCTGTGTGATCATCCAATCGATTGAGATACGATCAAGGATTTTTAAGATGGCACACAATTGCCATGTTCATTTACAACTACAAATTGGAGCCTGGTATAGAAATCTGGAGATCACCCTGTATCGATAGGTGAATCAGTCTTAAGTGGTTTCCATGTTCTATGGGTCACATAACCGTGAAAATGTTCTTCTGAAGAGTTTTATAAATAAGATAAATATTGCATAAAAATAAGGAACATTTACTGTTTGCTCATAAAATTTATTGAGGTAAGTGAAAAATTTATATACTTAATGAAAATTATTGGAATTACCAAAATTTTCAGTGAATAATAATTATCTTGTTATATTATATTCAATAGAAAATTAAATGTTTGTAAACCCAAAGTTTGTGGCATTTTCTGCATGACACTGTGACTAGGCTAGTCATTTGACATCGCTCAATATTGAAATCTCGATCAGAGTTCTCATCGATCTAGATATTTTTGATCACTTCTTATATTGGTGGATCATGGGTGGACCTTCATTGGTGGTCATTCGTGGTTATAAATTGATTGACAAGCAAATGCTTTTGACATCTATCTTTTGACAATATTGCAATGGTAATCACTCATTTTAATGTTACATCGATTTGTGACCGACCTGCGTCCTTTTTAACGAAAATTCAAGTTCTCTGAATACATTCAATTGAACACGTCGATGATGTCAAAAATAATGTGGATGAGCTCCCAATTACTACTTAAAAGAAATCTGAATGTATTCTATCAATCTAAATATGTTCCAGTTTCAGTTGTTAGTTTAACTTTGTCAAGGATATACTGTTCCAAAGCAATGAAAGAAATTTCCCCTGTTACCTCAATTGAGAAGAATTTCAAAGATAAGGAGTTTGTTGTTGAACTAAATAGGAATACATCTAAAAAAGAATCATCAAGCAATAAAAAGTATGTCTTCGCCATCCTCGGAATATTATTAACTCTAGGAGGTACCTATATTGTTATCGAATTTGGCAAACCTGATGATGCTTCAGGTATTTCATTGTGGAAACGATACTTGATGAAATTATGGCAGCAGATTGAAGATTTTACAGTTTTTATCCAGGAACCGTCTAGGGAAAAGCTTCTACCTGATCCTTTAATGTACCCATATTATCAGCCCCCTTATACTCTAGTTCTGGAGTTCACAGATGTTCTAGTCCATCCGGACTGGACTTATAAGACAGGCTGGAGATTCAAAAAACGACCGGGCTTAGATTATCTGCTCGAGAACCTCGTTGGATTTTATGAAATTGTAGTTTTTACAGCAGAACCAGGTATGACAATTTTTCCCGTCATTGAGGCTTTGGATCCAAAGAATCTAATTTCCTACAAGTTGGTCAGAGACTCGACACATTTTATTGATGGACATCATGTTAAGAATCTTGACAAACTGAACAGGGACTTGAAGAAAGTTATCGTTATCGATTGGAACTCGCAATCTGTTCAATTTCATCCCGATAATCATTTGAATATTCCACGATGGAGAGGCGAAAATGAGGACGAGGCTTTAATAGATTTAACTTCTTTTCTCAAAACAATAGCACTCACTGAAATTGACGATGTGAGAGATGTTCTAAGGTTTTATAAACAATACGATGAACCATTGAAGGAATTTCGAAACAAACAAAAGGAGTATTTCGACAAGAAAGATCAGTTACCTGAAAAACCAAGACAATCTATCAAAACTGTATTTGATTACATTATGTAAATAAGGTTTGAATGAATGATAAAGTTATGGTGTTGTGAATTTGTTTTCGAATTATTTCGGATTGTTGCTATATCATACCAAAATGATATTATCATTTATTGTGTATCAAAGTTACCTACCACTGGATGAAATTGTACGTCTTCTAATTCGAAAATTGAGAATAACAGTGTAACACTGATAATTTAATATAAGTAGCTCTAAAGGTACTGATATAGTAGTATTGTTAATAATGATATATATGAAATGCTTTTATTGAGTTGACAATGTACATGAAAGGCATCTTTGCATGAAGAATATAAATAGCTAAGTTCAATATACTTATAGAATATCGGCAAAGGATGCTTATTATTCTGATGATAAAATATTCATCGACTTTATATCCCTGAAAAGTCTGTAAAAATTCTCACCACATATTCCTGATGTTGAAATAAGCCGATTTAAAGCAACTTACCTCATTCCGAAATTGCTCTATGTCTCAGGTACAGGGTGAACTATATCAACAATTTTCAAAGTATTCCTCGAAAAATCGGTAGCCAAGGGTTTTTTGGGATGCGAAACCCGAATACAGACACGACCCATTCACTGTGGCGATTAGAGGGCGCTTTTAACTGCACTTCTTTTGGTTTGGAATGCCATTACTTTTTTCTCAGTGTAGTTTTTCACTCTTTCCATTCAGGCAATGTTTTCTCTGAATATTTTCAAGCAAAAAAGGTGCTCTTGTGAAAATTCACTAAATTTATATTTTTTTGTGTTCGATGCCGCATCGTAAAATTTATATTATTTTGAATAAAAAATGTTTGCTGTTATATCCATGGACGTGAAATGTCAGTTAGAGCAGTGCAAAAATGGATTTTTCGAAATACTTTTTTGGAGTGTGCGGAGGAATTTGAGACTGAGGTAAGTTGCTTTAAATCGGCTTATTTTGAACTCAGGGCTATGTTCTAAGATTTTGTTCAGCTCTTTCAGGGAGGGACACCCTGTAGAACAAGAAGAATGAGCTCCTGATAAATATCTGAAAGAGAGCTAGCCATAGTATATATATCGAATAGTGCATTGTACACCTAGGGAATAAAGTAGTATTTTGAATCCCTAGACAAATAGGTTATATTATAATTTGTCCAGGGATTTCAAAAACACTTTAGTCCTGCATGTGGTGTATGTACTATTTTATGCACCTGAGGATAAGTGAAACTTTGAAAATAACGAAAAAAAAAATTAAGTGCAATAAACGGTAGGTACTGTATTTCTAAAACGTCATATATTAAAGGAGCTGATTTTTACCATATCGACTACCTCAGTAACTATGGTGATCCAGATTTCGGGAAAAAAGTGGATTTGAATCCCTAGGGATTTGAAGTACCACTTTTTTCCCGAAAACAAGGAATAAAAGGTACCCGTCAAATCCCTGAAGTGCATAAACAATCAAATTCCTTATGATAGGTAGGTAATAACAAGTTTAACAATCGTTTGATAATATGTTATCATATCGAATATCGCCTTCGCCAATTTCTAGCATCGCGCAACCGATTCGAACTATATGTGCATATTCTGAGAGTCCATTATTTGCTTTCATGTAGATCGTTATCTCCTGTCACGCTGAAGGCCTTTACCACTGTAATAGTTATTTATGTATCAAGGGCGTAAAGTAGGCGTTTATGGCCTGTGGCGTGAATAATGGCCCGATGGCGCTAGCCGAGGGCCATTACACGCTGAAGGCCATAAACGCATTTCACGCACGAGATACATACAAAATTGTATGCACTAGTGGTTTATTTTCTGACTCATAAGTAATGACTATAGATTTCGACAAACTAATATTCCCCAGAATTTAATTTTTTACGTATTAATTCAGTAATCAAGAGAAGCGTGATGTTCATGGATGATTTACATATGAAAATTATTGTACGAATATTGCAATTATCGTAATAGTAAAACTCTTTCAGCTCTAGAAGAGATTCATTCTTCAGAGTTTTACAATATGCATACCCAGTATATAAACCTAACTTATTCAATTTTGACGTCAATCGATCTGATGGTTGTTGTCAATAGCAATACATCCAATAAACGAGCTGAATTGTCATTCTTTGACTGAAAAGTATAATTAGTGATAATAATAATAGCGAAACTATGGAATCGGATAAAGAAGAAGATTATGATATACCGCTGGATATATTAGAATCTAGGAATATCATCATAGGTTTTCCATGAATTGATATGTGGATATAAGGTGACTGATAACAGCGGGCGGCAAAGTGCACTTTACGGCCCGTGGGCCATAATAAGCCCGCGGGCGGTAAAGTGCGACTTAACGGCCGCAAAACCGGGCGGTAAAGTGCACTTTACGGCCCGTTAGTGCATAAAATGTGTTACAGATCTCGTATGGTTTGTATAGAGATACTAAGTCGGTTGGAGAAAATATTTTGTCTTTGATACCGAATATTGAACAAGTTCAAACATGGAATGTACAGATACCAATTACGACTTGAGGAATACAATTATTATATTATCCTTTCTTTTTCTATTCAGAAGTGCTCGCAGAAGGTTGAACCTATGTGTTTTAGGTTAACCTAGTAGGAGAGACCTGGGTGATTTTGATTTAGGCACCAATTTTCATTTCCCCAGTGTGAACATTCCTTCGCGCCATTTATTACAATCTTCCTATTTGGAATGTAGTACATATAGGTACAGTTAGATTCAATGAAAATGTCGCACATGGCCGGTGATAGCACTTATTGTCTCTTCCGAGGTTTCCTCTGCAATTAGAGCGCTAACACCATCCAACCGCTACGTGTTCTTTGCATCTGACTGTACATTGCTTTCGTAAAGTACTGAATAAATTCATTTTCAATAAAACTCCAATTCTGAAGATTCTCCAGCAACAGGACGATTTTAAATCTCATTCATTATGTAAGGAAAAATTAAATATAAATTTTCATGTGAAGCTGAATTCGAAGATAAATCACACACAGGGTTTGTATACGGTGCGTCCGTTGAATTCAGTGCTCTCCTATGGGGTTGCCATCAAAATATACCGATTTCATCATTTCTCCCATACGAATCATTTTGAATGAATCGATTGAATTTGAAAAAATGCCTAAATGAAAATAAGCGCCTATGTTGAACGTTTTTTTTCTATAATTATTCCTTCAATTTTTCACGAATACATCCCACCTACTTTGATTTTACTATACATATCGATCCCTTCCTGATTACTATCTATTATGGTATATTATCTATTATGGTGCCCAATTAGAGAAACCGAAGTATCTAGCTTATGTCAAATGCGAAGATTTTGAAAAAGGTTACGTGATTACTTCATTTATTCTGTGACTTTTGTTTTTCAGAAATCGAGACAAAAATCTAATATCGAAGTCAAAATAAGGAAGAAGAAACATCATGTTATCAATCAAATGTCAACTGAAAAAATTGAATTATCAACCAAAAAAACAGACAACGACGGAACAGATATTAAAGTTACTAAAAAGGCCAACAACATTAAAAACACGGAAAAAAAATTGAAACTCATTCCAGAAACAGGAAGTAGTGAAATTCTAACAAAAAGTAGAAAGAAACGAATGAAAAAACTGAAAAAAAAGATGAAGTATCAAAATGAGGACAAAGACAACAATGAAGGGTATAAAAATAGTAATATTGGCAGCAAAAGTAAAAGTATCAATGCAATTTTCAATAATAAACAAGATAAGTTAGGAAAGAAATACACTAAACTGAATGGACAACCAAGGCAGGAAATATCGAAAGCGAAATTGAAGAAGATTGATGAATATCGAAGTTCTGCTGACGACGTAGGAACATTGATGAAGAAATTCAAGGTTGGTCTAAAAAAGGCAGAGAACTTGAATAATGGCCAACAACGTACGATTTTAAACAAATCTGTGAATGTCAAACACAAAAGATATGATTTAGTTGTTGGAGATGAATTAATTTCTACTAGAGTAAATGGTGTTGATTTAAGAAAACGCAAGTTTCTTGATAAATTGAAAGTCACATTAGGTGAAACAAGAGTAGAGAAAACGACATTGTCACTGCGACAAAGAATGTTGGAAAAATTGAAGGCAGCAAGATTTCGTTTTCTTAATGAAGAGATTTATACATCTGATAGCAAGGAAGCCCAAAAAATATTCCATAATGATCCTGAAGCTTTTGAGGCTTACCATGATGGATATAGACAACAGGTGAAAAGATGGCCTTTGAACCCTCTGGATAATATCATAAAGAGTATACATAAAATGTAAGTGTTCATATGATACATAATTAAGTTGACAGAGCTAACACTTGTTTCATGAATTCATGTGCATACACCATTAATTTTCGACAAAACGCTATAGTTAGAAATGTGAGGCTATATCTACCCTTCAGACACTCTCTTGGGGTTTCAGACCGGATTCCACAATCATCTAGAATTCTCTTATTCCTCGGGCGCCACCTATTTTATAGTGATAGGACCACTTGCACCGTGCAACTAACAAAGAATAAAGTTATTCCAGGGGTCCAAACTATTGAAGTGTCAAAAGTGACATGAATGTTCATTTGGTACTGATAGAAGTGGGGAAACATTTGCACGTCAGCAACTAGCCCTTCATGAAACCTTTATACAAGTCCTAATGTGTTGTACGTGATATGTGGTCCGCTCAACTAACTAGTTAACAACCTTTCCAGGAACTGTCCATGATCTGTCGAAGTTTTTCGGTTAATTTTGTATGCTAGTAATGTATGAACTACCGCATGCTGCAGTGGCAGGTATGGCAGCTATCTCATTAGGCCCGTTAGAGCCCCTCTAAGTAACATTGGCCCGCTCTCACGCTCAACTGGTAGCTTTTTCACACTCACCTACATACACTGTCCTAATTCTTCTCCGATGCTCACAACCGTATCTTCAGCATTACTTCCTGTGTTCTGTGTAGGCATTGTTACTCAACCCCATACGCCACTTTAGGAGCAGCACTGTTGATTGGAATACAACAGTGAATCGTGCAGGACTATCCCCAGCCGATACTCTGAAACTTCACAATATTCAATCCGTACATTGAATATAAAAAGAATTCCTGGCCCTGGCTGGGAATCGTACTCACGATTCCGCTCTTCCACTGTACCAGTCCATTCCCCAAATGTTGATTTAATAAGTTGAATTAAAGAAGTTGAATAGTTCCCTGGACGTCTGGTTACTCTCAGCAGTGAATAATACTATCTATAATATATCTTTTATTTTATTCAACATCTATCAATATCTATTCCAATGATGAATTCTTAATCTTAAATGCTATAGCTATATGTACAGTGCATCCCATTTTGGTTGAGACTGCCAGGTTTCTCGGTTGTTATTGAAGATAGAGCCTTGCGGTTTTCACGTTCCTGTCCTCCTTTTTTGTGAACCTTATAATGGCTTGATCAGATTTTGCATAACTGTTTCTGTTCATGAGATATGGGGCGAGCTTGAAAATTCATACTTTTTGAACCCCTTCTATATCTACGAAGGTCTAAGGAACACCCCGTATTCCATTTTCTCGTTGAAATAGATATTTTCCCCTTCAAAACGATATATAATACTTTATACATAGGATGTCCAGAAATGCCAAAAAAACACTAAAACATTAAATTATTATGAAACTTTGCTAGTGCGGGCTGAGGATTTTTCATATAAATAAGGTACCATTTTTACGATGTCATCATAAAGAGATAAGGCGAAAAAAAGATACACTAAAAATTAACTTACGCGAATCATTAAATGTTAGTAGGTACCTACCTAAAACAACAAATGAATAATAATATCTTCTGAAGTAGTCCATGCTCGAAGTGGAGGGGGATGATCAAAGAGAAAAAACTCAAAGTCGTCTCCACAAGTTTAATGGCTATATGTGCAGGCAAATCTGTCGATTGGCCCCAAGTTTTGGGGGTGGATTGGCTCTGCCTTCCTCCATAAAATACAACTCATTTTTCAAATTGATATTTAAATATGTTTAAAAATATATAAAAATAATTTTTCGTCTGCATGATGTCATAGCCATTTCCACATCACCTTTATTCTGTACTTTGACTGATGATGACCATTTGAATGGTCGAAACATGTCTCAAAAGTGAAAACAGATTTGCCTGCGCACATCGCCATTAAACTTGTGGAGACGACTGAGTTTTTTCTCTTTGAATAATAATATATAATCTATAATACATACCTATAAGAAATAGAAGAAGTATCTAATCAATATTATATATAATGAATCACAAATAATAATTCTTCGAATTGTACTTGGGAAATCCATTGCCCACTAGCAGGAATTCATCACAATTTGATGTTTTAGCGTTTTTCCAGTTTTTCTGGAAACCCCATGTATAAAGTTTCTTGCATCATTTTGAAAAGAAAAATATAGTGAATTCAACGAAATAGTGAAATAAAGGGTGTCCCATTGAAAAATATATGAGGATGTGTCGTATCTCCAAAACCGAAATAGAAATTTATTTATTTATTTATTTATTCATCCAAACAGGCGTAAGGGTCTAATTACATGGATTACATAAATATAAAATAATTACCCATCTGAAGTGGCTAATAACACAAGATGTCCATTGGACATCCGTTTTGTGTCCATTATATGTCCAAGGTGTCCAAGGACACATTCTGGACATCCATAGGATGTCCACAGACAGCAATCCTATGGATGTCCAGGAAAAGTAATCCACATAGTGTCCATTTCATGTCCTTTCTGATAATGTTCCTTAACACAACGTCCAACTCATGTCCATAAGATAATGTCCAATAGACATCAATTTGCAGTAGTCCATACACAGTCCATATGATGTACATTGTTGCTTTTACGTCTCGGGTATCATCGAGATCGTTCGGCTCCTTCGCTGGCGACAGCTGTGCACAGGGTTAGCCGAAGCCGTGTGATGTGTGATGCCGTCCGCCATTTTTGTTTTGTTGTTGAACATCGGTGCACGGACAGAACGCCTGAGACTGATGATTTTATTCTCAAATCTAGCGTTTTGGTAATATCCATACAATCCATTCGAATTTTGTGTACTATTCATGCATACCTATACCATACCTCAGGAACGGTGACTATGCAAACCGGGAAACCGCTCCTTCACAAAGCCAGTATTCCCCAAGTTATTGTCCAGAAAATTGTGAAAACTCCGACAGAAACTCGTAAACCGGTAAAACCCGCTTCTGCAAAGCCAGTATTCCCTGAATTGCTGTTCAGAAAATCCACATGTACTGACAATCCCGTACAAAAAACTCATATCAAATAGCCATGTTTCAAGTCCGATCCTAATACAACGTTCTATGGATGTACGGTATGGACATCCATTAGATGTCCGTTTGGGACTTCCTATGGATGTCCAAAAAGGTGGAAAGTGAATGTCCCATGGATGTCCATATGCAGTCCCGTGTACGCATTCTAGTTGTCCATTGGATATCCAGATTGTCCAGACGAGTCTGTCCAATGGATGTCCATTGGACTAACTTGTGTTATTAGAAGATGATATACCTAATCATTACAAATGCGGTTACATAACAGAAAAGGGGAGAACAAAGGAAAAAAAGAGAGAAGAGAAATGTAGGGATTCTTTCCCAAAATTAAACTGATAAATTGAGAATGACATTTAAGATTTCTCTGCTGCGAAAAGTAGTTTCAGGGAGCGACCACTCAAATGAAATTAAGGTGTTATAATGGTTAGCCAGTCGAAGCATGATTAAAAGAGGGAATTTAGATAACTACCTATGAGGTACATTGAGCAAGCGTGAGGATCGAGTACGGCGTATGTTCAGTGCGCCGCTGGATTTTTCGCCACATTCTCTATTAGACATAGTTCTTAGTGCAACATTATCCTGTATTACTACGTAATACTGTATCTCGTAAACGAAAACAGTTACGCAAAATATGATTAGGCCATCTTGGGTTTCACAAAAAAGTAGGACAGGGACTTGAAAACTGCAATGCTCTATCTTCAATAACAACCGAGAAACCTGACATTCTCAACCAAAATGAGATGCTCTAAAAATGGCGCAATTGGATGGTGTCAACGCTCTTATTGCAGAAGTGACTAGAGGTCCTAATTAGATTTCCATAATAGTGAACACGCGTGGATAGCCGGAAGCAAAAGTTAAATGAGCGCTAGAAGTTGAAGTTAAATTATCACTAGAGGCAAAAATGAAATCAGAGCCCGAGTTGAAAGTGAAATTGTCACCAGGAGCAAAAGTAGAATCAGAGCCGGAGTTGAAAGTGTACATGTAACCGGATGCAAAGTTAAAATGACAACTGGAGGTAAAAGTAGAGTGAAACTTGATGATCACTCGCCCAACTTGGTGTATCCAGTTTGCATTGAAATTATCAAATTATGTACTTATAATAAACAAGAGCAGGAGCAGCAGACGCGATAATCACGATTTTAAGCAAAGCAGACGTAGTAATGAATTCAAGACATTTGACCCTCGCATAACTCAGTCTCTTTCCGCAAAAAGGTAACTTTGGCGGAAACCCCGCCTCACCAAAACCCTCGATCGACGAGCTATTGTCCAAAAAATTGGGAACACCCCTCTTTTCCTCGACAAATACCCGTTTTTCACACAGGAACGGTGGCTATACAAACCGAGAAACCCCGCACGTACAAAGCCAGTATTCCTCGAGTAATTGAGAAAATTTATCTTTTCCAGGACACTCGTCTTTCCTTCAGGAACGGTGACTATGCAAACCTGGAAACCGTGCCTTTACAAAGCCAGTACTCTCAGAGTTACTGTCCAGAAAAATGTACAAACCCCCTCTCTTTCAGAACAGGAACTCGTCTATACCTCAGGAACGGTGACTATGCCAACCGGGAAACCGCTCCTTCACAAAGCCAGTATTCCCCAAGTTATTGTCCAGAAATAGTGAAAACTCCGACAGAAACTCGTAAACCGGTAAAACCCGCTTCTGCAAAGCCAGTATTCCCTGAATTGCTGTTCAGAAAATTGAGAAAACTCTTTCCCAGATTATAAATCCAGTCTCGCTCACAAGATCGGTTACATTGAGAATCGGAAAACTTCGCCTTCACAACGCATTCGGTTTCTTTACAGGTCGGCCCACCTCGATTCTCGGTTCGGAGCTCGGTAATAGCTTTCAGGTTTTGTCAGGTTCGGTCGGTAGTTGTTGCGGCATCAACAACTGGCATTTTCTTGGGCTGCACCACATAACTATAACCCAGAGTAGAATGGAAATTAGTTATCAAGGTATTCGAAAAAACCTAGTATTTCGT